ATCCATTTGCCTGGCTAAATTCTACCCATCCTTCAGGCCTTGACCTCACAAACCAGTTTTATCTGTTCACACAGAATCCTCAACTACACTTTGACACATGTTGCACATCTATAAGCATTTTGTTAAAAAAAAAAAAAAGAAGAAGAAGTCTGCTGTTTCTCCTGATCTATAAACTCCTTGAAGATGAAAACCAAGATTGTTGTGTTCACCCAAATTTCTCTAGTGCTGACCATTGAACCTTTCACAGAGAAGGTCAATAAATATCAGTTGAGTGACTGAGTAAATGCAAATACCAGATCTATTTTTTTAAATGATGAGAGAGAGAGAGAACACACTCCCGCACATGTTTGAATGAATACATCCTTCCTTTGGTGAAGGTTCGCAGGCTCACTATGATGCAACCCTAGAGTTTCAAGTTCTCAAATAAACATTACCCCTGAGGGGCCCCTTGTCACAATGGAGCAAAATCTTGAGAAAAACAAAATGATGCCTCTCCTTATGAAACACCTGTATAAGGAGGATCAGGAAAATATGAAGGCAAAATGATTTTCACATTGCCCTTGATCTCTCCATACCAACCAATTTCATAATTTGTAAGCTTGCGGATCTGTTTCAGGCTTTTCATCTGTAAGAATCAAGTGAGGGCTGAGAGTGGTGGCTCATGCCTGTAATCCCAGCACTTTGGGAGACCAAGGCAGGCAGATCACCTGAGGTCAGGAGTTTGAGAGCAGCCTAGCCAACATGGTGAAACCCTGTCTCTGCTAAAAAAAAGAACAAAAAAAATTAGACAGGTTTGGTGGCACGTGTCCATAGTCTCAGCTACTCAGGAGGCTGAGGCAGGAGAATAGCTTGAACCCGGGAGGCAGAGGTTGCAGTGAGCCGAGGTCATGCCACTGCACTCCAGCATTGTTGCTAGTGTGAGACTCCATCTCAAAAAAAAAAAGAATCAAGTGAGAACTGGGCTGCTCATCAGAGTATCAGAGTTAAAGGCCAGGGGGTGGTGGGTTAAGCTCTGTTCTGCCCAGACAGTAGGATCTGGAATATAACTTTATTTCCTGTTTCTCTTTTCTTTTTATCTATAAATTAAGTTACTTGCCATGTGTCTGTTTTCTTTTCAGCCATTACACCTGCATTAGCCATCTTCCAAAGAAGAAATGTTTATTAAACGCTTGTACCATGTTCCATATACAAACATCTAGTGAGGGAAATACCAATGCCCTCATTTTACCCCTGAGGAAACCAGCTGAGTAACTTGGCCAACACTACAGAACCAAAGAATGCTGTAGCCCAGGATCAGAACCCAGATGAAATGTTTTCAAAGTCCATGATTTTTTCCTACTGCACCTCTCTGATTTAACATTCGAGCTCTTGTATCAATACTACCTTTTGGTTTTAAAACAATCACTAAGGCTTATTGGATAAAATAGAATCATCCTACCACGTGATAATAAAAAGGAATATTTATGTAAAACAGAATTAAAGTATTGTTGTGTTGTTGCTCTGCTGTCTTTCTAAGGTGCAGGATCACTTTTACAAAAAAAAAAATCTGTACTGTGATTTGATACGAAACACCTGACAAATTTTAAAAATTTGGATGAGTTTTCCTCTGCAGTGTCTATCCTTTCTGAAATCTTCCTAACTTTACTGTGGTTTGAGTTTGTAATTTACCAAATAATTGTTGTGCTAACAAGAAATGTAGGCCTTAGAATGAAGAAGCCGTGGCAGTGGGTATGACCTAATCAGACAAAGTTGTGGCTTACTTATTTTAAGAGAAGAATGCACAGAGCATCTGTAAGTACTAAGCAGCTGATAACGTTTGACAGAAAGCAGGGAAGAGTTCCAGGGAAGCAGAACGCCCCGTGAAGGACGCAAGGCTCAGTCATTAGTGGAAGGTTTATCTGTCCTCTGTCACTAGGGAGGTATAGACACAGAACAGGGTTCTTTGTTTCAGGGAGAGGGTGTGGAATAGGTCTTTCTATGGGGTCAAATAAAAGAAAGATAAGAAAGTTTCAAGGATAAACTTGAGAGTGAAAAGTGACATGCAATCTTAGCAGCCTTCAGATGATGCACAAAAAGAGCATTTTTGGCCGCATTTTTTAATACACATTTCCCCCAAATATCATCAACTCCATAAATAGGCAGGTTTAAGGGAGAAACCAAAAACTATTTTTGACTTCTGTAAAAACTTACCCATGAGAGGCAAAGAACATTTGTTTAAAAATATCCTAATTTTGCAAGATCCCTGTCCTCCAGTCAATAGTTTTCCACTCAAACATATTATCTTCAGACAGCTAAAGGTTATGTTGTCGAAAAGCACATAGATCACAGCTATAATTTCTTATTTTGATGACCAAGTTTCAGAACCGTTTGAAATGGTGCCCCAGTCACTGCAGTGAGAGAAGCTGCATTACAGACAAAATATAGTAAGACAGGATTTCATTAGGGACTGGGTTTTGTTTTTTGTTTTGTTTTGTTTTGCTCAGCCCCTCAAAGACATCTGTGTAAGCCTCTCACCAGGTAGCACAAAAGCTGCTGAATCACTTGAATGAAAGGGTCAGGTTGCAAGCTGTGCCTGTGTGGAAGCTGTTATGCCCTTTTCAGACCACCCAGCTCTCCAAAGGAGGAGCGACATTAGATTCAGACAAGATAAGAGGCTGCCCTTCTGTGTAACCTGGCCCAGGAAACAGCCTTTCTAGGGAGTTACAGGATCCCATTGTAAGGAATGGCTACATGCCCTGAAAAGGTCACACTTGTCTAATTCAGTATACCTGCAGCCATGGTTCATTATGAGAGAAAGAAATATATCTGAACAGTTTTGAAGAAAAGCAATTAGCCAAACCTTCAGGCCTATTCTCCAAGTAAATGCTGAAAAGTTCTCATATCCCGTATCTGTGTTTAGAAGACTGAGTCATGTCCACCAATGTCAGAATATCAGAGCCAGGAGATACCAAACCTCATTTAATTCAACTCATTTTACTGATGAGGAAGTGAAGCTTTGAGGGTTAGATGATTCTTCCAAGGCCGGTTGGTAACAGCTAAGATTTGAAACACCATGAGGACAAGGACCCTGTGCGTGCCATTTCCAGTGGGCATTTTGAAATCCTTAGAAACTAGCACTGAGCCTGGTACACCTAAATAATTGGAATGAGGGAAAGGAAGAAAGGAAGGGGTTCTGATGGCCATGTCCAGTTTTCTTTTTAATATAAATATTAAATGCCATAAAAATGCAAGGATGGGGATGGAGGCTGAATTCGGACTTTCATATATTGTGAAATGAGAATTTTAACCATCGAGGAATCACTTTCTGTTTCTTTTCTTCCCTGTGGGATGGTCCAATCCAAAGTCATTTTCAAAATATGAGACTCCTGAACTGTTCCATGAAATCCAGCTCAGTTCACCCCAACTCAGTCTAGCCCAACTCCAGCGGCCCAGCAACCCCAGGAGGCTGGGAAAGAATTAAAAACATCCTGGGTTTAAAGTTTCCAAAACAAACATTGCTTAGCCATGAGGGGGCAGATCAGGCCATATAGCCCAAATTGTAAAAGCAGGGAACATGGTAGTCAGGTCCCTTTGCCAACTCCTTTTCTTCCTCATAGAAATGAAAGGGGAGCAAGAAACAAAAATGAAGAGATTGGTGAAAGCTGATTAAAAAGCCCTGGTTTGTAAGCCAAGCATGCAAAACCGTGTTGCACATAAGTTATCCTCAACCACAGCTTAAATTCAGGTTTCTTATTTAGATAAAAGGTTTAATATTAACCAAGTACATGACAAGAATTTCATTGTCAAGGACAATGAAATGTTTACCCAAGTGTGACCCACCTGCTTCAGAATCACCTGAGAAGATTCCTGGCACCACCCCAGGTCTAAAATCACTTGGGGCTGGGGACTGAGAACCTGCCTTTCACCAAGCAAGTAGGGGGTTCTTATACACATTAAGGTTTGAGAATGCTTGATGGAGAGAAACAGCAAGTTTCTCAAAAGTTTCCTAGAGTTGCACCAAAGGCATTTTTATCAAGTGTAAGTAAGGGGCTGAGGAACTGCTCTTCAAGCTTTACCTAGAGTCAGAAACAGCAGCTGTCAGTTTTCCAGAGCAGAATCTTGGAAAGCATTGAAATACTTGCTCTAGTCTGTGAAGCAGCCCCGAAGAGGTTAATCTCTCCAGCAAGATTCCCAGACTATAAACACCAATCAGCTCCTTGAAATGCTCTTTTTAAGCTTTGTAATGCACACCAAGTAACAAGACTGGGTGCAGTCATGAAAAAAAAAATAAGAAACTAAAATTAAATACCTTGAAAACAATTTCTGTAAGCCAGAAATTGTTTCCTGGATTTCCAAATGAAATGAAAAGAAACTTTACAACAGCACCAAAGTCTCTGGACCAAATCTCAGTACTGAGTAGAGAGAGCCTAAAAATCAGTCCAAAACTTCAGAAAAATGCCATTTCTTTGCCTCCCCAGCACTATCTCTCTTCCCCACAATGAAACAGAAATCACGTTTAAAAAAAAAAAAAAAAAGTCTCCAAATGTAACTAAACTAAAGCAAAGATATCCAGAAATTATCTCATCCAAATTTCTCTCTGTTTGTACCATGAGGACATTATCTGTTTCGCTCATTTTTGTGTCTTTTCCCTTTGCCATTTCCTTTAGCTGAGAAGAAACATTCTAATTTCAGACGGAAAAATTACACAATTAAAAAATGGTTATTTCATTGGCAAATGCCACCGCGGATGGATTGAGAAGAGAGAAATTTGTGTCACGTAATAAAAAGAAAAACACCTCAATCTTGGCATTCGGTTTGTTAATACTGCAAGTTGCTACCTTCGGAGTTAACAGAATTAAACTTTTCCAAGCCTACTCTTGCAGCTGTCTTGCATTGTTACTTGGCATTAATGATATCACACTAACAATCTCTGAGGCATTCTGCTAATAGAATATTCACAGTCACAATGAAAAGAAACACATAAAGCAGATACTTACAGGTAGTGGTTTTCCTTTCCAAGCCAAAAAAGCTAGAAACCCTTGGAACTGGCGGGCAGGATAAGAGTCACTGACCCGGCAATCTGATTTAAAGGGCTTTGAGAGGAAGGGGGAGGAAGGAGAACCCAAGGAAGGAAGAGAGCTGAAATTCCAGTCTTTCAGGTCAGCTGTGTTTGAATTTTCTTTGTACTAAAAATCCATTAACCTACCCCACAGAAAATATAGAATTGAAGTTCACATAAACACTCCGCTCTCCTTGCTGGTCTTCTCCAACGCAGCTGCTGCCGCTTTGAAAACTTCCTGAGCGTCAAGCCTCAGGACTCCCCCTGAGAAGGGCAAGATAAAGATGCCTTCAACTGTTTGCAGGGAGCCCGACCTCCCTGGCGGACAGCCACCGGCTCGCCCCGTCTCTTCTGCCGGTTGGGTCCGCAGGGACAAAACTGAGCTTTTGTTAATGAGGTCGGTTGCCTCTTCCCAGTCTCTTCCCAGCTTCCTTTCTCACTACTAGTTGTGTACTAACTGCTCTGCCACTCGCCAAGCCGGAGCAGTCTCTCTCGCCTGCAGCACACAGGCACACACACACTCAGACACAGCCACACACACATTCACACATGGGCATGCACACACTCACAGACATGCACACACACACAGGCGCACACACAAGCATGCACACATTCAGAGGTACACACACACACAAGATTCACAGTCACCACACACAAACACATACACTGGCGAATGCATTCACATGCATGCACACACACTGACACGCCCCACACATGTACATGCATTCTCACGAGTGCTCCACACACACACAGGAGCACACACAAACACACAGGCCGCACACGCCCACACCCTCCCGTGTACATACTCACACAGACTCTTCCAACACACTATTTTTCTGCCCTTCTTTTCTTCCAACACATTCCCGTCTTGAAAGGCTTTTATTTAAATTCAGACTAGGAGCCTGGCATTAAGACGGGACAGAGAGGCAGGATTGGCCCCTTTTAACTTTTGTCAGGGCATTTAAGGGAAAAGATAGGATGGAACTAGATCCCAGGGTGCTGTTTTTTAAGGACCATCTTAGTTCTTCCGTTTATAAGGCTTTTTGTGTATCTGGCTCTTTTTGAAAATCCATAAAAATCCCGTTAATCTGATCCGTTTGCATGTAGTTCACGATCCCAATAATTCAGATATATCACAGGCCGAAAACTGTTCTCTCAACAGAGATTCATGTAGTTAACCTGTCAGTATTCAGTGGTCGGTGAAAGTCTTGTTTAATAAAATGCTTGCCTGTATGTCATCCCCACCAGGAAAAAACAAAACAGATAATGGCATACCATCTGGCCTAACTTTTAAATTAACCATAAAGAGAGAATTTGAAGTGTTATCTCACTTTGGGGGAACTGTTTATATTGAGACATGTCTGGCTATCCTAAACCTTAGCCAAAAATATAGGACACTGTGAATCTAATTCAACCTGGATTGTGGTTTCTCTTAACAAGGTCACAACACCATATATCTTTCTTTAGAAGCCATAAGGAATAGAGAGAGGAAAATGAAAAAGGAGAAGAAAATTATATGAGGAAGGAAGAAAGAAAAGAGAAAAAAGGAAAGAAGGAAAGAATGCAAAAGAAGGGAGAAAAAAATTGTAAAATGTGCTTTGTGGATACTTTCGCAATGAATGGTGCATATATACTTACTACAAATCTTCAAGAATCTATTGATTCATTTTATTTGCTCTGAGAATAAGTGGGTGAAAGTTAAGAATACTATGGCAAGAGAAGAGGATCAGTTCAGGAAAGGAAAGGTTATACATACCACACTCAAAATAGATAAACATGAAAACGAATAAATAAAGAAAAGCAATACAAACACCTCTGTGTACCAGAAAAGAACAGAAACACAGCCCAATGAGAGGGTTTATAGGAAGAGCCTTGTTGACCTCAGACTTGGGAGCTGACAGCACGATTAGAGGGCATTAGGCAATAAAACCACCCTTGAGCAGGGCAGAAGAGCAGCGTGCTCTACTTGACGTGAGAAGGCTATAGGTCAATTTGACTTTTAACATAAATGCAAAATCTTAAATAACTTATTTACAAATTAAATTCAGCTCTGCGTTTTAAAAGATAATATGACCAATCGCAAAGAATTTTTTTCAGGATTGCAAGGATGGTTCAAAGTCAGAACACCTAAATTACTTTATAAGTAAACAAATACTATTTACTAAACAGTTATTATTAAACAAGTGACAATGTGTGAGTCATATATTAATCTTGAAAGCCTCAAGACATAAAGCCTCAATAATGATGGTTAATGCATGTTCTCACTTATAAGTGAGTGTTGAACAATGAGAACACATGGACACAGGGAGGGGAACATCATATACCGGGGCCTGTTATGAATGGAGGGCTAGGGAAGAGATAGCATCAGGAGAAATACCTAATGTAGATGACGGGGTGATGGATGCAGCAAACCACCATGGCACGTGCATACCTATGCAACAAACCTGTGCGTTCTACACATGTACCCCAGAACTTAAAGTATAATTAAAAAAAAAAACAATAATGATGGTTAAGAAACACAGCATAATAGACAATATTATTCTCAGACTTAATTTTAAAATTGCCCAGGTTGTGAATATCTCTTTTAGAAGCTGTTAGTTGAAATTTAGAATCCATTTGACAAAGAAATTGTACACTATGTATAAGCGGTTGCATTGACATGCTTCTTCTAACATCTGGGCTAAATAAGGTTTATGGATTAGTCTAGAAACAGAGATAAATGTTTTTATATCATTTATATGGGAAAAGCAACTTCAATATGCTAAGCAAAAAATAACAAACTCAGATTGCAATGTATCTCAAAGTGTCTGCAGGAAATATAATCTTTGCAAAGTTAATTATCTACATGAAGCTCGGCCTAACTGTGCGGAACATATTCTACAATAAACAGTTAGAGTTAGATTAGTCAAAATGTCCTGAAATCCGAAGTACCTGTTTATACAAATGTCATCCTTTCTATCTGTCACAAATGAATAAGGGTCTGGAAATAATACAATTATCAACTTCAATCAATAAAATACTCTTTGAACAGGTTGAAATGCCAAGCTAGGGCTTTTACAAAGAACTAGTCAGAGAGGTAGGGTTTCAGACAAGGTTTAAGAATTGCAAGGTTCGTTCAAAACCAAAACATCTAGCAGTTTAAAAATAAAGAAGGAAAAAAGACATGACCATCTTAATAAGTGCAGAAAAGAGACATTCAGTAAAATTCAATACTCATTCGTTAAAAAACCAAAAACCGAAAGCTATTAGCCAACTAGGACTAGAAGGGAAGTTTCTAAATCCAATTAAGGACGTTTTGCTCCAATCTCCACAATTCAACATTGAATAGGAGATACTAACCAACACAGTAAGTCAAGAAAAAAAAAAGAAGCGTGAAAATTTAAAAGGAAAAAATAAACCTTACATTATTTGCAAAAGATAGGAGTCTCTGTACAAAATATACAAAAGAACGTATTGTTTAAACTATTCAAAGAGTTCAACAACTTCGTTGGGCATAAGGTAAACATATAAAAATCAATGGCATTCATGTACACTAGTAACAACTAATTACTTAAAATGATTTTTAAAAGACAGTTTTCATAATAGCAACAAAATTTTAATGACCCTGGTAATTTATCTAAAGTAATTAAATTTGGGTAAAATTTCAGGAAGAAAATAAAAAATTAGGCTGGGCGCAATGGCTCAAGCCTGTAATCCCAGCACTTTGGGAGGCCGAGGTGAGTGGATCAGGAGGTCAAGAGATCGACACCATCCTGGTCAACATGGTGAAACCCCGTCTCTACTAAAAATACAAAAAATTAGCTGGGCATGGTGGCACGTGGCTGTAATCCCAGCTACTCAGGAGGCTGAGGCAGGAGAATTGCCTGAACCCAGGAGGCGGGGGTTGCGGTGAGCTGAGATCACGCCATTGCACTCCAGCCTGGACAAGAGTGAAACCCTGTTTCGGAAAAAAAGAAAAAAGAAAAAAATCTTAATATTCTCCTTTTATTAAAGGAGAAAATATACAAATGGCTAATACATACATGAAAACATCCACAATTACACAAATAATCAGGGAAATGCAATTAGAGACTTAAAATGAGATGCTCTTAGATATACAAGGTAAAAAGTTTAAAATCTTACAATATTAAATCTGGTAAAAGATGAGGGGGGAAAAACTCTTACTTGCTACTGGAAGTTTTAAATAGTTACCAACAGAAAGCAGTTTGACCATTTCTAGTAAAAGTGAATATTCAAAAAACCTTAGGCATTTAAATTCGAGTTATACTTAGTTTCTCATATGTGTACAAAAAGTCTTATACCTGATAGTCTTCACCATTGCAATTGAAAAATATTGAAATAACCATTATCTAAATAAAAAAGATGTTGAGCAAAGAAAGCAAATTGCAGCCAGGTGCAGTGGCTCACACCTGTAATCCTAGCACTTTGGGAGGCCAAGGCGAGTGGATTACTTGAAGTCAGGAGTTTGAAACCAGCCTGTCCAACATGGTGAAACCCCAACTCTACTAAAAATACAGAAAAATTAGCTGGGCATGGTAGTGGACACCTGTAATCCCAGCTACTTGGGAGACTGAAGCAGGAGAATCACTTGAACCTGTGAGATGGGGGTTGTAGTGAGCCAAGACTGCACCACTGCACTCCAGCCTGGGTAACAGAGCAAGACTCTGTCTTGAAAGAAAAAGAAAGAAAAAAAAGAAAATGGCAAAAATATAGGGATAGATTTTAATAAGGATTACACTGACTCTGTAGATTACTTCAGGTAGTATGGACATTTTATCTATATTAAGTCTTACAATCCATGAGCATGGGATATCTTTCCAATTATTTGTTCCTTCTTTAATGTATCAATGATTTGTAGTTTTTAGTGTACAGTGTACAAGACTTTCATCTCCTTGATTATATTTATTACTAAGTAAAGAGGACTTGGGAAAGTTCATGAAAATGTGTGTTATGAAAAAAAATTACATGGATTTCAAAAATTCTTTGCACCAAAATAAACTTGTACTAACTTGTTATAACATGTCTGAACAGCATCTAACTTGAGGCACTAAGACGTATAAGACCTCAGTTTGAAAAGAACTGCTATCAGAGCAACATGAATTCTGTCAAATTAAAGAGCAAACATCAAATTTATGATGGAAGAATGGTGAAATCACTGGTGCTTTATAAAAAGTTTGTGGGGAAAATGCCCCCACAGAAATCAGCAGTATGCAAATGGCTAATTCATTTTAAGAAGAGTTGAGACAATGTTGAAGATGAAGCTCACAGGGGCAGACCATCCACATCAAAATGCAAGAAAAACATTCATTTAGTTCATACCTTAACTGAAGAGAATCAATGATTAATAACACAAACAATGTTCAACACTATAAATACCTCAACTGGTTCAGCTTACACAATTCTGACCAAAAAATTAAAGTTGAGCAAACTTTCCATTTGAGTGGTGCCAAAACGATTGTGCTCTGATCAGCTGTAGACAAGAACAGCACTTCAATGGAAATTTTAAATAAATAGAATCAAGATCCTGAAGGATTTATTTAAATCATTACAATAGAAGATAAAACACAGCTTTACCAGCATGCTCCTGAAGACAAAGAACAATCAAAGGAATGACTACCAAAAGGTGAAAGTTGTCCAGTCATAGCAAGAGTGGCCCAGTTAGGAGGAAAGGTCATGGCAACCTTGTTTTGGATGTTCAAGGAATTTTGCTTGTTGACTTTCTGGAGGACCAAAGAACAATATCTACTTACTATGAGAGTGTTTTAACAAAGTTAGCCAAAGCTTTAGCAGAAAAACACCCAGGAATGCTTCGCCAGAGTCCATCTCCACCAGGACAATGCTCCTGCTCATTTCTTTTATTAAACAATGGCCATTTTGCAAGAACTTCGATGGGAAATCATTAGACAACTACCTTACAGTCCAAATTTGGCTACTTCTAACTTCTTTTTTTCCCTTAACCTTAAAACAACTTTAAAAAGAACCCATTTTTCTTCAGCTAATAACGTTAAAAAGACTGCATTGAGGCTGGTCACAGTGGCTCATACCTATAATCCCAGAACTTTGGAAGCGTGAGGTGAGCGGATCACTAGGTTGGGAGTTCAAGACCAGCCTGGCCAACATAGCGAAACCCTATCTCTACTAAAAACACAAAAATTAGCCAGGCATGGTAGTGGGCACCTGTAATCTCAGCTACTCAGGAGGCTGAGGCAGCAGAATCACTTGAACCCAGGAAGCAGAGGTTGTAGTGAGCCAAGACCTTGCAATCTTAACTTCCAGTTTAATGAAATCATTGTTTTGTCTACTGGTGGCAGTGTTTTACCCTTGGGAACTCTAACAGAGCAGAACGTAATGTCGTGGAAACAGGAAGCAAAAATTTTGCTAGTGGATCTAGCAGTGATGATGAGTGGTGCCACTTCCACTTCCACCTGTTGATTCCTGGACCCATAAATCCTGGCTATGGGATAAACAGTACCATATATTGGATGCTGATTCAGAGCATACATGGCCTTCTGGAGAGCTTTGCCCCAGCCCTGCAAAGTATTGTCACCTAGTTGGCATTGTAATTGTGACTTCAAAGGCTATCGTGCTATCAATCCAGCTGCTTCAGGATGATTAGGAAGATGGTAAGACCAGTGAATTCCATCAACATGACCCCACTGTCACACTTCTTTAGTCGTAAACTGAGCACCTTGGTCAGAAGCAATGCTGTGTGGAATACCATGATGGTTGGTAAGGCATCCCATGAGTCCATGGATTGTGGTCTTGGCAGAAACATTGCCTTCAGGATAGGCAAACCCATATTCAGAATAAGTATCTATTCCAGTGAGGAAAAACCTCTGCCCGTTCCATGGTGGGGGAGGTCCAATATAATCAACCCACCACCAAGTAGCTAGCTGATCATCCCAAGGAATGGTGCCGTATAAAGGGCTCAGTGTTAGTCTGCTGCTGGCAAATTGGGCACTCAGCAGTGGCCATAGCCAGGTCAGCCTCAATGAGTGGAAGTCCATGTTGCTAAGCCCATGTATTACCTCCATCCCTGCCACCATGGCCACTTTGTTCATGGGCCCATTGGGTGATGACAGAGGTGGCTGGGGAAAGAGGATGAGTGGTATCCACAGAATGAGTCATTCTATCTACTTGATATTAAAATCCTCCTCTGCTGAGGTCACTCTTTGGTGAGCATTCACATAGGATACAAATATCTTCACAGTTTTTGACCTTTCAGAGAGATCCATCCAATACCTTTTCCCCAAATTTGTTTGTTACCAATTTTCCAGTCATGCCTCTTCTAAGTCCCTGACCATCTACCCAAACCAAAGGTTACAGCCCATGAATAAGTATTATATAATCACACATCTGGCCATTTATCTTTCCATGTAAAGTACACAACCAGGTGCACTGCTTGAAGTTCTGCCCACTGGGAAGATTTTCCTTCACCACCATCCTTCAGGGGTGTCATAGAAAGGGGGTGTAGTGCTGCAGTTATCCATTTTGGGCTTGCATATAGTGCAGAACCATCTGTGAGCCAGGCCCTAGTCCTCTCTTCCTCTGTCAACTGATCATAGAGAACTCCCATGAGGCCATCAATACAGGCTGGGGGAGAAAAGGCAGGTGGCAGGAGTGGAGATCATGGGCATTTGAGCCACTTCCTCGTGTAACTTACTTGTGCCTTCAGGACCTGCTCAAGCCCGATCACATATATACCACTTCCATTTGATGATGAAATGCTGCTGTGCACAACCCACTTTATGGCCAGATGGGTCAGAAAGCACCCAGTTCATGATAGGCAGTTCAGGTTGCATGGCAACTTGATGAGCCATAGTCAAACATCCACCAAAGCCCAGTAACAAGCCAAGAGCTGTATCTCAGAAGGAGAGTAGTTATCAGCAGAAAATGGCAGGGCCTTGCTCCAAAATCCTAGAGGCCTCCACTATTATTCACCTATGGCATTCACAAATAGCATCCCTATCTGCCACTAACACCTGAAGACCAATGGATCTGCTGGGTCATATGGCCCAAGTGGCAGAGCAGCTTGCACATCAGCCTGGACCTGTTGCAGAGCCTTCTCCTGTTCTAGATTTCTCTCAAAACTGGCAGCCTTTCAGGTCACTCGATAAATGGGCTGGAGTAACACACCCAAATGAGAAATGTTGCCTCCAAAATCCAAATAGGCCCACTAGATGTTGTGCCTCATTCTCGGTTGTAGGAGGAGCCAAATACAGCAACTTATCTTTCACCTCAGAAGGAATATCGTGATAGGCCCCACACCATTGGACCCCTAGAAATTTTACTTAGGTAGAAGTTCCCTGAATTTTATTCAGATTTATTTCCCATCATCTGGCATGCAAGTGTCTCACCAATAAGTCCAGTGTGTGTGCTACCTCTTGCTCACTAGATCCGGTCAGGATAATGTCATCAATGTAATGGACCAGTGTGACATCTTGGGGAAATGAAAAGCAATCAAGGTCTCTTCGAACAAGATTATGACACAAAGTTGGAGCATTGATATGCCCCTGAGGTATGACAGCAAAGGTATTTTACTGACCTTGCCAGCTGAAGGCAAGTTGCTTCTGGTGGGACTAATGGACAGGAATGGGGAAAAAGGCATTTGCCCAGTCAATGGCTGTCAATGGCTGGGCAAGTCAAAGGTACTTGCCCAGTCAAGTACCAGAGATGTGTTAATTTGCTCAAGCAATGAAACCACATCTGGTACAGCAGCTGCAATCGGAGTCACCACTTAGTTAAGCTTATCATAATCCACTGCCATTCTCTAAGATTCATCTGTCTTCTGCACAGGCCAAATAGGAGAGTTGAACAGGGATGTGATGGGAATCACCACCCCTTTGTCTTTCAAGTTCTTGCTGGTGGCACTAATCTCTGCAGTCCCTCCAGGGATGTGATATTGCTTTTGATTTACTATTTTTCTAGATAGAGGCAGCTCTAATGGCTTCCATTTGGCCTTTCCCACCATAATTGCCCTCACCCTACCAGTCAGAGAGTCAATGTGGGGGTTCCTCCAGCTGCTAAGTATGTCTATGCCAGTTATGCATTCTGGAACTGGGGAAATGACCACAGGATGAGTCCAGGGACCCACTGGACCCACTGGACCCACTGTAAGTCAGATTTGAGCTAAACCTCCATTAATCACCTGACTCCATAAGCCCCTACTTTAATTGGAAGACCACAATGACATTTTTGGTCTCCTGGAATCAACGAGAGCTCAGAGCCAGTGTCCAGTAGTCCCCAAAACATATGGTCATTTCCCTTCCCCAATGCACAGTTATTCTGGTAAAAGGCTAAAGGTCTCTTTGGGAACAGATGGGAGAAAGATTAACAACATAAATTGTCAGTAGTGTAGTGGAGTCCTTCCTCAAGGGGACCCGGCCTCCCCTTCATTCAAAGGGTTCGGGGTCTGTAAACTGGCTCAAGTCTGGAAATTTATTTAGAGGCCATGATTCTATGTTTTTATAATTCAAATTAGTCTTTTGTCCACTTGATCTGGAAGTTTTCTGGTTATATAAATTAAGTAAAACGGCAATAAGCTTGCTATCAATTTCACGTCTAGGAACACTGATTAATTAGCCAGTGCCAGAGCTCCACATGAGTCAGACTATTCTGACTGCTGCTTTGCCTCTTCTTTCCATTGCAATAGCTATGCCCATCTTGCCTTTGATGGTTGAGTGCTGCCACTTGGCCCCTGCCACCTCAGGATGCAATTATTCCCATTGTATTTAAATTTTAAAGTTGAGTGACCGCAGTTCCCACTGTTGGATCTAACATACAGAGAAGAGCAATTACAGGGCTCTTTAAAGTTGCAGGTGCTGCCCTCACAAATCTATTTCACAAAGCATTGATCAAGGATATGTCTTCTGGGTCATCCCAGCTGGGATAAGTAGGTCTGAAGTGACTAATCCACTCCACCATCCCAATCTCCCTAAGCCTTTGGATCCCTTCCTCTACCTTAAACCAAGAGAGATCAGGAATTTCCAGCTTGCTCATAGTGGGCCATCTTTTAATCCATATTTCAGCTAACCAAGCAAATAAACTATTAGAAGCTTTTTTAACTCCCTGAGCTGTAACATTAAATTCAGAATCCCTACTTAGTGGGTCCAAATCAATAAATTCAGCCTGATCCAACTCTATGTTCCTTCCACCATTATTCCACACCCTTAATACCCATTCCCATGCCTGTTCTCTAGATTCCTGCTCATAGAAATTAGAAAACTCAAGCAGTCTTTTTGAGTGTAGTGCACCTTCTCATGGGTCACACTCTGAACCTCGCCTCTAGGGGCCTGCTGGGACTTTAGTCTAGTTACAGGTCTAGAAGCAAACAGGTGTGTTGGGGGTGGCCCCTGAGGAGAATCAACATTATCTTGCCTGGCAACTGCCTCAGGGGAGGGCATTACTGTTGCCGCAGGCAGTGCAGTCTGTCTCCTCAGACAAAGGTGGAAAGACTGATGAGGGTCCTCCCACACATCCCCATTTCAAGTTTCAGAGTCCCATTCTTTTCCAATCAATGCCCTCAGTTTAACAGTAGACACCTGATGAGGCTTTGCATGCACCTTGCACTGCAGGTCAGCCACTCTCATGAAAAGACCTTGTGTCTGTTTTTCCACAATTTCAGCTCTTTCTCTACAGGAGATAAGACTCTCACTCAGGGCAATCTTAGCCGATTTGAGGCTCCATATATGCTTCTGAAGCTAGGAGTTAGAATCCTTGAGTTCATCATTTTCTTTCATCATTTTGTCCAATGAGGTTAGGAGCAACTAACCAACTTCATTATGTTCCTTGGTTCTCCACATATACTCAAAAATAATATGTATAGAGTCACCAACCTCCTTGCCTCTCATGCGCGGTGAATCAGGAGTGTCAAATGCATTTATTTTACATAACTCTCTAAACACTTCATTCCAAAAACTATGCAGTGTTTTCTATGAGAACCCTGATTAATACCAGGGCTAATCATAAGAAGCAGGCAACTCCAGAAACCTCAAAACCAATTAAAGAACTCCGTCCTTAATATTCTGCTTCTCTAGAATCAGCCCTGGTACCAAAATCTGTATTAGTCAGGGTTTGCTAGAGGGACAGAACTAATAGGATAGGTGTATATAGAAAGGGGAGGGGGTTACTAAGGAGTATTACTCACATGATCACAAGGTCCCACAACAGGTCCTCTGCAAGGTAAGGAACCAGGAAGCCAGTCCAAGTCCCAAAGCTGAAGAACTTGGAGTCTGATGTTCAAGGTCAGAAATATCCAGCATGGGACAGAGATATAGGCTGGGAGGCTAAGCTAGTCTGATCGCTCCATGTTCTTCTACCTGCTTTTATTCTGGTCAAGCTGGCAGCTAATTAGATAGTGCCCACCCAGATAAAGGGTGAGTCTGCCTTTCCCAACCCACTGACTCAAATGTTAATCTCCTTTGGCAACACCCTCACAGACATGCCCAGGATCAATACTTTGCATCCTTCAATCCAATCAAGTTGACAGTATTAACTATCACAATTATCAAAAATAAAAGCAAAAGATAAATGTTGATGAAGAGGTGGAGAAATTGGAACCCTTCTACACTCTTAGTGAGAATATAAAATGATGCAGCCAGTATGAAAAAAGAAGTGTAGTGGTTCCCTTCCCCCCAAAATTAAAAATAGAACCATCATATGATTCAGTCAATGTATATCCAAAAGAATGGAAAGCAGGATCCCCATCCTCAGTATTGGCAACATCCCCTCCCTGACCTATGCTGCCATCAGCCTTTCCACTTTTGTCAGAGGAGATAAACCCTGCACTGCCTGAGGGAACAGTGATATCTGTGCTACAATGTTTATTGCAGCGCTGTTCACAATAGCCAAGATATGGAAACAACCTAAGTGTCTATCAACAGATAAATGAGTAAAGAAAGTGTGGTATATATACACAATGGGATATTATTCAGCCTTTAAAAAGAAGAAAATCGTGCCATACGTGACCAGATGGATGAATCTGGAGGAAATTATGCTAGGTGAAGTAAGCTAGCCATGGAAGGACAAATGCTGCATGATTTCACTTATATGAGGTATATAAAATAATTAAACTCATAGAAACTGAGAGTAGAATGGTAGCTGCCAGGAGCCTGAAGGAGGGAGGAACAGACGCTATTCAGTGGGTACAAGGTTTCAGTTATGCAAGATGAGTAGGTTCTAGAGATGTGCTGTACAACATTGTGCCTATAGGTAACAAAGGTGTATGGTACTTAGAAATTGTTAGGATAGTTCTCATGTTAAGTATTCTTATTACAGAACAAAATGAAACTAAACAAAAACTAAAGAGGCACAAGGAAATTTTTGGAAATGGTCAATTTATCTATTACCTTGATTATGGTATATGCATATGTTCAAACTCATCTATTATATATGTTAAATATGGGCAATTTTTTGTGTATCAGTTATTCCTCAGTAAAACTTTTTTAAAAATGTGGACAGGATAATATGCAACTCTCAAAAACCAAAAACCAACACAACTATTGTTTATTTGTACATGTGTGGTTAAAAATAAAAGCATAGATGAAAAAGATACATACCAATTTCAATTAAGCAATTACCTCAAGGGCTCCCAGGCTACTATTGCTTTATTTCAGATAAGAGGTAGGCTTTAAAGGAATGGTCTGAAAGAAGGCTTTAGAAGAGGATGCCCCTGACTGGAGAGACATTGAGGAGACAGGCTTCCAAACACACACCTGCACACACTGTGCAAGCATGTAGCTGTTAACAACAAAGGAATCCTTCTCCCAGCACTTTGTTTTATGTCTGGAGCTAATGGTCCAGCTGCAGAAAGGATGAAGGATTCAGGTCCTCTAACTTTACAAGGGCTTACACTCAAATCATGTGCTTCAGTGAATCTATTTGAGCAAAACATTTTTCATCCTCCCTATTCAAGGCTATTGTGTATAGACATGGAAACTTCAGGCTAAAAATTCTATTGCTCATATTATCATTTCCACATTTGTCCACTAAATTCAGACGGGAAATCAGAACAAACTGACAGCTTCCATTTCACTCTGCCTTCACAACTGAAAATCAAACAGGCAATGCATTTTTCTTATTAATAATTAACTTGAACACAGCTTCAAACGCTAGCATTAAATAGACATTAGAATTTTGTGCATGCATTAAAAACATGAAAAAAATCATCAGGAATCCTTTTTATCTCCAGCTTTTACAGAAAAGAGGAAAATGCACCAAAGGCAACAAAAAGAATTTAATTTTCAGATGTTTTTCATTTCAATGATCTGTGTGGGGCCTGGGAGTGATTTGGTCACTTCAAAGCTTAGCACCAGGAGCAATTTTATTTTTCCAAGCATAACTCAAGGAGTTGGGAGTCTTTGCTTACTGACCTTCTTAATTCTTTAAAATGTGACTCTAGAAAAATGTCCTAACTCCAGCTTTCTCAAAATATATTTTGCATGGAGGAAAAAGAAAAATAAACATAGTTGTCACATAAAAACATCAGGGCAGCTTAGCCTAAGTCAGAACACAATGAAATTAACAAAACAAAACCACAGGTAAAGATGCTTTCCACATATTAGGAGTAAATTTCAACATTCTACTGACAAAAATCACAGACTTGTTTGGAAAGCTGAAACTGAAGCCTCACACTGGTTGTGCCTCACAGAAATATGCTGACCCCTTCAACAAGGGTTATTGAACCTTAGTACAAGCCAGGTGCTGAGTAGGACCTAGTGCCTGCTCTCAAAAACTTTACAATCTAGTTGGAGAAGTAAGACTTGTAAATATCAAGTGTCTAATGTATAATAACCATTACAAAGAGTTCTCTAAAAATTGGTGAATGAATGGGTTGAATATTAATATTCATTACATTTCTGGCCATATGTTAAATATTGATTACAATGGAGAAAGGGATACCCATGATGTGGCCTTCATTCTCAAAGAACCTGCAGTGCTGTTGAGAAGATAAGATTTATACACTAACGCCTGCCACACAAAATAGAGAATAATACCAGATAATAAATACAAATTATACCAAGAGATTTGTTAGTCAAGTAGGGTCTTTCTGAGGAAGTGACACCTTATCAAAACCCTGGATGAAGTAAAGATTCTGGGGGTAAGGACAGCCTAGGCAGTTAGCTGCTGAAAGGAGCCTTAGAGATTTTCCAATTTAAATTATGAGTTTTGAACATTTTTTAAGTATTGAAATCATTTTGTAAATGAACATCTTGATAGTATCCTAACACATGAAACAGCAACAAGTAGATCTCTTTGTTTGGAAAGTAGGGGTGGAGGACCAAGGGCCCCAGATCTTGGATTTTTGCATTCTTCAGTTTAGGGCACCTCCTAGAAACTCCAGGACCCCAAGTAACACTGTCTGGGGAAAAAAGAGTTTAAATATGAAATCGCAATTTGACAGATGAGTAAGGTAAGGCCAAGAGACTAAGTCAATTGCCTTAGAAATCACAGCTACTTATAGTGGTTCTGAGTATACTTCTCACACCTTCTCCCTCAGCAAATAAGACTCTACCACACTTAATTCTTTCATTTGATAAGTATCAATTAACTTCCAACAATGCCCTAGACACCAGATTTATCAATGAAGAAAATGCAGTGAGGAAAAAAAAAATGCCCCCGGCCTTATGCTGTATTCATTTCCTATATTAAAAAATAATCACAAAACTAAATATTAATTATAAATTGTAGTTAAGTCCAACAAATAAACATGCCCTAAAGCATTATAACATGCCTTTCATAAGACCAAGACCAGAAAAGGGTTTATCATATGGGCTATAAGAAGGTTTTGCCTTAAGAATTAACATTCTTAGTAATATGCCTTCCCCATGTGACATATGTTAACTCTTTGTATTTTAATAAAGTCTTTTCATGATTGGACTCATGCTCACACATCTGCTTTGTCCATCAGACTGCAAAGACCTTAATATAAATCTAGCCACCACGTCATGTGCATTGATTTGGACAAATGATATGTACTGAAACAACTTTGCTTTACTCCAATATTTACCCAGCATCTAACTATTGACATTTTTCTCCACTTAACAGATACGGAGATGACCCTTCTCTCCTCCCTTCCTTAGGGAGTACACACTTTGCAACTAGAAGGAAAATTACATTCTTCAGCCAGATTGAAAATCAGTGACATCACTGGTCATAATGCCCTGGGAGTTTCTCAAGGAGAAAAGACAGTCTTAAGAATTCCACAAGAAGAAGCTGAAATAATTGTGCATTATTAGTGGGATTATCAAATGGCGACACTGCTGTGGAAGATAGTATGGAAGTTCCTCAAAAATTTAAAAAGAGAAACTGTCATATAATCCAGCCATCCTCCTTCTGGGCAGCCAAAAGAATTAAAAGCAGTCTTGAAGTGATGTTTTAACACACATATTCATCACAACATTAATCACAATAGCCAAGACATGGAAGCAACGTAAACATCCATAGATGGACAAGTGGATTAACAAATGTGATTTATTCATGCAATGGAATATTATTCACCCTTAAAAAGATAGGGAAATCTTGCATATGCTACAAAGTGAAGGAATCTTGAGGATATTATGCTAAATGAAATAAGTCAGTCACAAAAAGATAAATACTTTTTGATTCCATTTATACGAAGTGTCTAAAGCAGTCAAATTTACAGAAACTGAAAGTAGAATGGTGGTTACCAGGGGCTGGGGACACGGAGAGAGGGATGTTATTAATAGGTATAGAATTTCAGTTTTTGCAAGATGAAAAAGTTCTGGAGATCATTTCACAACAATATGAATATACTTAACAAGCCTGAAATCACTTAGGATCTGGCATCATTTGAAGAATGACCAGCTATGCAATGACTTTTCCTTATTATTGTTTCTTTAAAAACATGTCTATACTTACAAGTTACAGTTACGATAGGTTCCCAACTTACAATCAACCCACTCAACCAATATGCTTAAGGAAGGTGGTGGGGTATAATAAAAAAAAAATTTTCTAAAAGTATATTTGTTCAGAGTTTCAAATTATCTCTCATTACTTCTAGATCTCAAGACTAGTGGCACTGGTTTAAATCTTTTTAATAAAAAAATTTTTTTTTGAGACAGAGTTTCGCTGTTGTTACCCAGGCTGGAGTGCAACGGCGCGATCTCGGCTCACCGCAACCTCCACCTCCTGGGTTCAGGCAATTCTCCTGCCTCAGCCTCCTGAGTAGCTGGGATTACAGGCACGCGCCACCATGCCCAGCTAATTTTTTTTGTATTTTTAGTAGAGACGGGGTTTCACCGTGTTGACCAGGATGGTGTTGATCTCCTGACCTCGTGATCCACCCACCTCGGCCTCCCAAAGTGCTGGGATTATAGGCGTGAGCCACTGCGCCTGGCCCTTAATTAAATATTTTTTAAAATAGTTGACACTTCCCCATGTCTGGGACTCTTTTGGTAGTCTTCTCTGGAATTATATCAAAAATACTTCTCAAAATTTTTGTTCATAAAGTAGACTAGGCTCTAAAGAGGAAGTAAAAAATTATAATGTAGCTTCTCTGGAGACTACAGGCCCTTTCTCCAACTTTTTAGCTATAAGCACTTGACCTTACATATTTTATTTCACCTCTTAACTTCACAGCTCGGTTTTCCAGTATTAAACGAGAGTGAAAAAAAAAAGTATACAATTTCAGAAAGTCATACAAGCACTTCAGACACAAATTATATATACTAAGCCTTGTTCACAAGAGGCTGAAAACATTTAGTTATAGCCTTACCTTAATTTCTGCACTGTATACTCCTGTGTTTTGCACAGCCCAGTTAGTACACTATGGTTTTAATGCTATCTATTTTTTTAGCCCAGTAATTTATTGGAATTATATAAACTATATAACTTCAATTGTATGACACTTATCACTCATCTTGCCCTGGTAAGCATGTAAGAAATGGCATTTATGATGTGCAATTTGGGTTCATGCTCTAAAGAATGTCATAGAAATATCTGAGCTCTCTCTGCTGGCATCAATAAAAATGTAGTTAGGAAATAAACTCTGGAAGCAACACTGAAAAACCATGGAAGACATACTGGAGATGGCTAAGCAGAAGCAGAGGTGCCATTGAAAAGACATGGTCTAAGTGGACTGATCACTTTGGGCTGCTTTTCTTTGCTGTTATTCTGTAGCATTAAATCAATTCATTCATTCATCTAACATTTATTAAACACTAAGCATATGTTGACCACTACTTTGGTGCTGGAAGTAAAACAATGACTATAACACATACAACGAACTATAAAGAGCCTGGGATTTTACCTTACTTGCAAGCTAACAAATTAGCTTGCCACACTTTCATGAATGCTGGCAGAAGACATAAAACTTGTGAGTCTGAGACAAAGAACAGTTTATCATGCATAGCAATAGTAGCAGGTAACCAGTGTATTAACATGTGTACCACTTACCTAAAATTCAACCACAGGATAATGTAAAGAAGGTCATGTAATACCTGCATCTGCAGTAGTATGCATTGTAAGATACCATGGGAGTATCAAGGATGGGCTAAGAGGAACATTCAGAGAAGGCTTCTCAGAAAACCTAAATGCCAGGGCTGACCCTAAAAGGAGAAATAGGAAGGGGTAGATATAGAAAGACAGATGGGCCATTTTAACCAGCAGTCTTTGTAAGACCACAGGCATAGGTGTGTGAGCATTTTGCTACAAGTAGAACATCACAAGAAGTTGGTTTTCACTGAAGCTTAAAGTGGAAGGCCAAGGGTAAGGGAAGATGAAGTGAGATAGGCAAGCAAGACCTAGACTTTGGAGAGTCTTTGATATCTTGCCAAGGAGCTTAGTCTTTGCCGTGTTGGCATTGGAGAGCCACTGGAGGACATAAGAAAATAGTTAGGCTTTGCATTGGATAGATAATGCTAAACAGAAAGGCATCCATGTCTCTGGCATATTGTGATTTTGATATGATACAGCAAGTCCCAGCAATCTCCAGCAACCTCTGATAACACACAGCAAACAATGAGTGTGGTTGCCATTACCATCCTTGTGCATTCTTTGATACTTCAGTAGGGCTGTTTGCACTTCTCTCTGAATTCTGACAAGTGTGCTCTCACTCTCGCATTCAGCCTATGACTCCAGCAGTGCACAATAGCTGTGTTTTTTACAGTATACTTACCAACCCCATTGTCTTCAGAATAGTTTTATCTTGTTCCCTGGGGTTTTAACAGTCACTGATAAAGATATCTAATTCAGCATTTTTCTATAATCTAATTTCCTCCTCTGACAAATGCTGTCACTAAAAAATGATGGAGAATTTCCTGATGCCTTCTGTTTTCCTTACCAAGGCCCCTCTGGAGCATTTCAGCACATGTTATTGATGGGACCCCTGAATACTGGGAAGAGGGCTGATACTACAATTTCCAATCATGGATAGAAACTAAAGGCTGGGGGTAGGGAGATCTTTTTAATCATCTTTTTCCATATATGTATATATTGCCTATTGCTTCTGTTTCTCTGGAGATCCCTGATTAAATACAGGACTACAACAGTGAGCAAGGCAGATGTGAGCTTGTCTTCGAGAGGCTTACCATCTAATTGGAGGAGGACATCTAACTAGAAATGGGAACATGCTGAGGGTCGTGAGGGGAAATGAAAGTCACAATTGGAGCATGTAACAAGCATTCTAATGTGCTCTTAGGTTGACCACCTTTCCCTATTTTTAGTACCAGTTGAGTTTTCCAACCAAATGGACAAGAATGAGTTGTGATCAAAGCACTCTGGATTCCATTTGCAGTTTTCCCATTAGGCTGCTGTGTGACTTGAGGCAAATCCCCTACCTTCCTGAGTCTCATCTGCAATATGAACATCATCTTACATTTGTTACAGAGCAAACTGCTCCCCTTAAGTTGTTTGAAGAAATGAGTTTGTTACAAACCAGACCGCAGAAGTCAGATGAGGAGTCCTGACGCTTTTCTGTCTACAAAAAGATGTTTAAACCTTTTATAGTCAAGTGAAGTAACAGAAAACTCAGTTTCTCTGAAAACACATGTGTATCTTTAGCTATAAGAATAATTGTTGGGGCCAAGTACAGTGGCTCATGCCCATGATCCCAGCATTTTGGGAGGCTGAGGTGGGCGGATCACGAGGTCAGGAGTTTGAGACCAGCCTGGCCCACATGGTGAATACTTGTCTCTATTAAAAATACAAAACTTAGCTGAGTGTGGTGGCGCTTGTCTGTAGTCCCAGCTACCCAGGAGGCTGAGGCAGAATTGTCTGAACCTGGGAGGCAGAAGTTGCAGTGAGCCGGGATCATACCACTGCACCCCAGCCTGGCAACAGAGCAAAGACTCTGTTTCAAAAAAAAAAAAAAAAAAAAAAGAGTAATTGTTGGGTCACGCACAGTGGCTCATGCCTGTAATCCCAGCACTTTGGGAGACCAAGGCAGGTGGATCACCTGAGGTTAGGAGTCCAAGACCAGCCTGGCCAACATGGTGAAACTCCATCTCTATTAAAAATACAAAAATTAGCCAGGCATGCTTGGGTGCACCTGTAATCCCAGCAAATCAGGGGCCAAGGCAGGAGAATCGCTTGAACCCAAGAGGCAGAAGTTGCAATGAGCTGAGACTGCACCATTGCACTCCAGCCTGGGCAAAAGAGTGAAACTCCATCTGAATAAATAAATAAATAAAAATTTTTAAAAAATATTATTGTTAACTCATCATGTCTTTAAATGACAACCTAGTCAAATCTGTACGATTACTAAATCAGATTCAGGTATCATTCTTTGAGGAGGTACCCTTATCACAGCATAAAATGCAATATGTGTTTTTATTTTTAAATTTTTTTATTTCTTTGAGACAGATTCTCACTCCGTCACCAGGCTAGAGTACAGTGCTCTGATCTTGGCTCACTGCAGCCTCCCTATCCCAGGCTCAAGCAATCCTCTCACCTCACCCTTTGGAGTAGCTAGAACTGGGCACACGCCACCACATCTGGCTAATTTTTGTATTTTTTGTAGAGACAGGGTTTTGCCAAGTTGCTCAGTCTGGTCTCAAACTTCTGGGATCAAGTGATCTGCCCACCTCAGCCTCCCAAAGTGCTGGGATTACACTGTGAGCCACGGTGCCCAGCCTCAATATGTGTTTTTAGTATCTTGTAAGCCAGAAATCCTCAAAGTAGTCACAGATGCCTGGTCCCATTTCAGGGGATGCATGAGGTTAAATTATTTTTATAATAATATCAAGATATTTTTTCCTTCTTTGCTAACATGCTCTCATGAGTATAGAATGTAATTTTCCAGAGGCTACATGACATGTGACATCACAGGAGATTGAATGCAGAAGCAGATGTGAAGATCCAGCTGTTTTCCATTAAGTCAGACACTAAAGAGACTTGCAAATATATAGAACAACACCACTTTTTCACCAATTTTTTATTTTCAAAAAGTTATTTTTCATCAAAATAATGTTTACGTGTAATAAAGGTATTGTTTCTTTTAAATAAGTATTTCTCAGTTTTAATTTCTAATACAGTAAATATATAGTGTAACTCAAATATATAAAAGCTCTTTGGGGTCTTCAATAAGTCTTTAGAGTGAAAAGTAATCCTGAGGTTAAAAAGTTTGAGAACTACTAAACAAATGTCTTGCAAACCGTCTCAATCTCTTTATGCGATAAGCTCCTGGATTAGCAGTTTCTATCTCCTTATGTAACCAGATCGCCAGTCTGTCTGGCTTTAGTCATGACTGTAGCGGCCACAACTGAATCAAAGAAAACAGGGTTTATGGAAACTAAGAAACAATGGAGGGCGTATACAATCCATCAGAGAATACTGGGAAGATATTTATTCTGTCTCCATAAATTGTGTCATGCTTCATGACTATGTATTTACATTCATGATTTTATTTAATGTTCAGAACTCAGGAGATAGAAAAGGTTAGTCCAGCTACTTA